TGCATTAATATTCAACCAACATAGATAAACAGGTTTAGGGTAATTCTATTGATTGCATGTTAGTCAGAAAGCGCACATGAATACGTTCAGAATAAAGTAGAGGCTTATTATTAGGGCATGTTCAATCTCTTTTAGGTTGGATTTGTACCTTCATCCCCGAACCCTATTTGGTTAAAGGCCTTATGGAGTTGACGATCTCCTGGATCGTTAAGGGGTGTAACCTTCACCTTGTAAACGGTTTACAAGTTCCTAAAAAAAACTTGTTGGCGACTCTTTTGCTCTAGCTTCTTTCCCTTTGGACGCCACCGTACTTTAGTGTATGATCACAGTGGGGTTCAAGCTGGGGGTTTAAAGCTTGAAATATTCCCTACAGAAGCGCAAAGGGTTAAGTTGCTTCAAATCTAGATACATGTCTTCACTCCCTCCAACCGGAGTGCAAGACCTCAAGAAACGTTCTTGCTTGAAATAATGCACCAATCTAGTAACCATACCTCCACAATGTATCTCACCCGTTTTCTTCCCATTAATGATTACCTGGCAACAATTCATAAAAATATACCCAAAATTCAACCTCGGCCCCAAATCCGGCCTTGTATCCATCCAAAGAACTAAGATCTCCTCCCTCAAAAGCTTCCTAAGATCTTGCTTATTAAACACGGCATAGCCAAAACCCGATGAAGAATTCTAAGAGCTAGGTGAATGATCTCGCTAGCAAGCGAATTCTTAGAGTAAAACACCTTCATTTTAGCAATGGCTCTCCACCATGCAACCTCATTGTAATCGGACTTGAGAGGGGAAACCAAGGGCTCAAAGATATCGGTATTGGGGTTGAAGCCAAGGGCTTTATTGAATTCGGCAAGGTTCATGGTATACTTGGAATTGAATAGTTTGAAAGAGATTATATAGTCGGTATCCCCCGCCCTATTATACTCAAAGGTGGAGAAAAACTCAATGCACGGTTCCAAATAGGTTCGCGGAGATGACTTTACAAACTCATCCAAACCAAGCTTACGGAGTAAGATGTCAAGATCGGCATCAACTCCTGATTTGACCATATCATCGGGAAGATAGTTGCGGGTAGGTCTAAATTTTTGGGATTTCAGTTTTTTATAGATAGGGACATGTTTAGACCGATTGTGAAATTTGAGAGGAGGTAAAGGAGGAGGTGGGGTATCATCTTGAAGAGTTTGGTTGTGAGGAGGTTCAGTGTTTGAAGGTTGGCTATGAGAGGATTGGCCTTAGGAGGATTGGCCGGTTGATTGGTCAAAATTTTTCTTGCTACTCTTAACCTTTCTTAACAAACCTATAGTCACAAGCTCAACCAACACAAGAAACTACACAATCACCCTAAATCAACACCAACACTACCACCAATTTTTTTAAACCACCTTCACAATACCACCCAAAACCACCACAAACTACAAAGTACCTGTTACAAGCAACAAAACAACCAAAAATCCAAACAACAACCAACAACATTAACAATCCATCTCAAAAATAAGCATAAATCACTCAAAATAATTCCAAAATCACCATACAAACTACCAAAAACATCATGGTCATGCTTAATCAAGGCAAACCGAAACCAATGTATAATAATCAATTGAAATTGACAAAAATAAAACAAAGGTTAGGAGTATACCAAGATTGAAGACTCAAACAAAGCTCAAAATCCCGTCAAGGACTCGAATTTCCCGAAAAACCACGAGAAAAGAGACTAATCTTGATGAAAATGGAGTATGAAAGAAATTGTGATTGAAAATTAAGTGAAAACAAGGATGAATTTGAGTGAATTTGTGTGAGAAAGATGATTTGGGGGTTAGGGTTTGAGAGCAGGAAGAGAGATAAAGGGGAAAAATAAGGGGGAATTGAAAAATAAGAAAGGAGAGAGAGAGAGGAGCAAAACCAGCCCTCTTATAACCCAGCAAGCCGCGCCCTCTCCCGACTTCCCCGCGCCAGCGGGGAATCGCCCGCCCCCGCGGATAGACCGGGAGACCTTACTAGAAAAATTCTTCGATTTTACCTTAAACTCGTGTCGCGCCCTCTCCAAAAGGGTCGCGCCCTCTCCAAAGTTGTCGTGCCCGCGGGGAGTTCCTGATCCTTTTTTTGACAAAATACACTGCGCCCTCTCCAATACTCCCCGCAACCTCTCTAAGACACCTGCGCCCGCAGGGAGACCGCGGAGAGACCGCGGGAAGTTCCTGATCGGATTTCCCCTTTTTTAAAGCAAGGGCACCCGAGGCCTCTCCAAGCCCGTGGGGTTCCCTCTCCCGTACACTCCGAATTCTCCTTTTTCCATCCTCATCAAATACATTAAGTCCATAGTTGATGAATGAAGGCAACCTACAAAACAAACCAAAAACACAAGGAAAGGTAAGAGCAAAAATCAACAAAGAAAAATAAAAGAAAGGAAAGAAAAGAGAGTAGAGGTGAGAATCCGGGTTGCCTCCCGTAAGCGCTTTTGTTTAACGTCATTAGCTCGACGTTTACCACCCATTCAAGGTGGCTTGAAAAGAATCATTTTATGAATAAGACCAACAAACACTCCATCAAAATATCTCTTGAGCCGATGGCCATTAACCTTAAAAGAAGATGAGGAATCCAAAGGGGAAATCTCCACGTCACCATTAGCAAAAACATCTTTTACCAAGAAAGGGCCACTCCATCTTGACATGAGCTTTCTTGGAAACAATTTCATTCTTGAATTGTAGAGGAGGACTTTATGACCAACACAAAAACTCTTTCTTCTCAATAAGCTTATCATGAGCTTCCTTGGAACGAGCTTTGTAGGTGCTAGCACAATCGTAAGCATCAAATCTAAGCTCCTCTAGCTCATGAAGATCCAACCACCTTTTCTCCCTTGCACTTTATAAATCAAAGTTTATCTTCTTGATTTCCCACAGAGCATGGTGTTCAAGCTCCACCGGGAGATGGCATGATTTTCCATAGACAAGGCGATATGGAGTGGTGCCAATAGGTGTCTTGAAAGCCGTTATATAGGCCCAAAGAGCATCATCCAACTTGTCCGACCAATCCTTTCTATTCCTTGCAACCGTCATCTCAAGAATAAGCTTTATTTGACAATTAGAGACCTCGACTTGGCCACTCGTTTGCGGATGATATGAAAGGCCAGGGCGTTGATGAACCCCATGTTTCCTCAACATCTTTTGGAAGGCATTGTGAACAAAATGAGAACCGTCAAGGCGAGAAAGATGGTGCGCCACAATATTTTGTGCACCCTTCTTATCCCTAATCTCTATTTCAAAAGTTTGTAGTTCAAGCACCCAACAAATCAACCTTGGCTTGGACTCCTTCTTGATAAAGAGATACTTGAGAGAGGCATGATCCGTTAAGACAATGGTCTTGAAACCCAATAAATAACATCGGAATTTCTCAAAAGAGTGAACAATGGACAATAATTCTTTTTCCGTTGTTGTGTAATTCTTTAGAGCCCCATTTAGTGTCTTGGACATATAGTAAATCACATGAAGCTTCTTGTCCACACGTTGTCCCAAAACACCTCCAATTGCCCAATCACTAGCATCACACATCAACTCAAAGCATAGATCCCATCTTGGGGCATGAACAATAGGGGTAGAGATTAGGGCTTCCTCCAACCTATTAAATGCCTCCAAGCATTTACCATAAAAAACGAACTCAACATCTTTTTGAAGATGATCATTAAGGGGCTTGGCAATGAGTGAGAAATCCTTGATAAATCTTTTATAGAAGACCGCATGTCCCAAAAATGATCTCACTCTCTTGACATTCACCGGAGGTGGAATCTTCTCAATAACCTCGATCTTGGCCTTATCCACCTCTATTCCTTTATGAGAGATTTTGTGTCCAAGCAGTATTCCTTCCTCCACCATGAAGTGGAACTTCTCCTAATTTAAGACAAGATTAACCTTCGCACACCTTGACAAACATTTCCCAAGATTCACAAGGCACTCTTCAAATGAAACCCCACCTACGGAGAAGTCATCCATAAAAAACTCCATTTCTTCCTCCAACATGTATCCAAAAATGCTCATCATGCACCTTTGGAAAGTTGTGGGGGCATTAAAAAGACCAAAAGGCATTCTCCTATAAGCAAAGGTCCCATAGGGGCATGTGAATGTTATCTTCTCTTGATCATCGGGGTGGATTGAGATTTGGAAAAATCTCGAATAGCCGTCAAGGAAGCAATAGAACTTGTGCTTTGTTAGTCTCTCTAACATTTGATCAATTAATGGAAGGGGAAATTAATCCTTCTTGGTGGATGTATTTAGACGTCTATAGTCTATACACATCCTCCAACCGGTAACCGTCCTAGTCGGAATGAGCTCACCTCTCTCATTCTTGAATACGGTCATACCCCCTCTCTTAGGAACGACATGAACGGGAGAGACCCACCTAGAGCTTGAGATGGGGAATATGATTCCCGCATCCAAAAGCTTGGTGATTTCTTTTTTCACCACCTCTCCCAATTGAGGATGTAGCTTTCTTTAACGTTCAATAGAAGGAAGGGTGCCTTCCTCAAGCGTTATGTGGTGTGTACACAAAGCGGGGCTTATACCCTTAAGATCATCAATAGTATAGCCCAAAGCACCTTGGTGCTTTCTCAAGACACAACATAACGCTTGAGCTTGGCTTTCATTCAAGGATGCACTAACAATTACGGGATAAGTGGAATTTGGGCCTAAGAATTCATACCTAAGGTGTGATGGTAGAGGTTTGAGCTCTACCATAGGCACACCTTTACCTTCTTTTGTTGCGGCCACTTGCATAGCTTCTTGGCTTGAGATTTTCAAGCGCATTTGTTCTTCCACTTCATCCATGCTTCTATTCAGGAATTCCTCATACAATGTCATCTCCTTGCATGGTGCACCTACTTTACCTTTGTTCAACAAAACATTCTCAAGAGCATCATTAGAGGTGAGCAAGTGCTCATGCGTGGAAGACACAACATGATCAAGAGAGTCAATCATCATGCAATTTTCTAGAGAAGAACATGGATATTACATGCTTTCATTCAAATCAAATTCTATGACCTCATCTCCTACCTTAAGAGAAATCTTTGCACTCTTGACATCTACAAAAGCACCCGAGGTAGCAATAAAGGGTCTACCTAGAATGATAGGAATGATAGCATCTTCATCCATTTCAAGTACAACAAAATCCACCGGGATCACAAACTTTCCAACCCTCAATGGAACATCTTCCACTTTACCTTTTGGAAACTTGATTGACCTATCGACTAGTTGCAAGGTAATGTTGGAAGGTAAGAGTTCCCCTAGATTAAGTCTTTGATAAACCAAATATGGCATTAGGCTTACACTAGCTCCTAAATCACATAAGGCATTATCAATTTTCACCTTGTTAATAGCACAAGGGATAGAGAAGTTTCCGGGGTCGTTCAACTTGGGTGGCATTTTGTTCATGATGATCGCGCTACAATTCTCAGTTAATTTTGATAGTCTCCACAACATGACAATTCCTGTTCCCACTCAAAATGTCTTTGAGGAATTTTTCATAGTTAGGCATTTGGTTGATCACATCAATGAAAGGTAGAGAAAGGTGAAGTTGTTTGAGCATATCAATAAATCTCCAAAATTTCTCATCCAATTTGTGTCTCGTGAATTTTTTGGGAGAAGGGAGCTTGGGTTTCACAATCTCTTTCTCTACTCTCACTTCTCTAGGTGTCTCAACCACAACCTCATCTAATGATGCTCTATCTCTCTCATTCTCGACCAAAGCTTCCTTAGGGACCTCCTTTTCTTTACTCTTCCAAGGAAATCTCTCCTAAAGAACCTTACCACTCCTTGTAACAATAGCATTCACGGGTTTCTTGGGATCTAGGCCTTGGGAAGGTAAAGAAGAAGGGCTTGCTTGGTCTTTCAAAGTATTAGCAAGTTGAGAAATTTTGTTTTCGAGCATTTTTTATGGGTCATCATCTCATTGAATTTCTTGTCACTAACGACCATGTATGTGTTCAATAACTTGGTTTTATTTTCAATTATTTCCTCGAAATTAGTCCTAGAAGAAGTAGGTTGTGAATAGGAATTTTCACCTTGAGTCTTTGGAACAAATCTGGGTGGGGGACTCCTTTGAGAATTATTTTGAAAAATGCCCCTTGATAAGTGGTTTATTTGACCACTTATTGTGTAAATTTAAACCCGATTTTGCGATCATTTCCCCTCTTTCTAACCCAATTTTGAATGAAAATGTTTTGTCTCGGCTTTCCCCCCCTCTTGGTTTGTGTTTGTCCATGTTTTGCAGGTCTATGGACTCAATTAGGCAGGCTTTCGGTGCATGAATCGTGTTTAAGACAAGAGGATTGAAGATTGGAGAGGGCGCTCCAGGGGAGCGGGCGTGCACCTCTAATGGAGCGGGCGCTCCTCGACTCTAGCCACATTCTGCCCAAGTTCAGGTGCTGTTAGGAGCGGGCGTGCACCTCTCATGGAGCGGGCGCTACTCCCTTTGAAGATTGAATCTGCCCATGCTGCTGGAACAGGGGAGCGGGCGTGCATCATGTGAGGAGCGGGCGCTCCTCCCTGACACTTTCAAATCTGATCCTTCATTGAAGCATTCTGGAGAGGGCGTGCAGCCGAAAGGAGCGGGCGCTCCCAGCTTAGGAGCGGGCGCTCTTCATTGCGGAGCGGGCGCTCCTCGCTGGGAATCCGTTTTGTTTTGACGGATTTCCCTATGTGTTTCGGGGAGTATAAATACTTCCCCTTTAGCTCATTTAGAAAGGGGGTATAGTAGCCTAGTTTTCAGAAACCTCTCTTAGTTTGAAACATTCCTTAGGATTAATTTATCTTAGTTTTCATCAAATCAAATCATTGTATTAGTGAAATTCAAGAATTATTCTCAAAGTTTGGCAATTTGTATTCAACATTTGAAGCTTCAATTAGTAATTTCTCCAACCTTCTTCCTTTTAATTTCAGATTTTATTTGGTATTTGCATGTTATTTAAATCTTCTTAGTTCTTGGTAATTTGTTATTGGATGATAGTTATTTCAATTGTTAACCACTTTTCCCCAATTATTGAAGTATTTAGAACCCTAATTCTTGATTGCATGTTGATAAACATGAGTTGTGAGTAGTCTTCTTGCTAGGGGTTGGGTGAAGCTCGACCTTTTGGGTTAACTATGCAAATGTGGGAGAAGCATTGATGTTTGTATTGCAATTAAATTGATTATATGAGATTGCTTGTTAGTTCCTCATGATAGGTTTAGCTACCCTTGACTAAGGAGCTTGATAGTATGATATGCCTAATTTGACATGGAAGTGTAAATTGAGTACGTCATTACTTATTGTAATTTGATTATGTATCATCTATTGCTAAACTAATGAGGAATCTAAGTTTAGTAGTGTGAGTTGTTTTCTAATTGCATGAGGTTGATTTTACATATAGTCCTTGCTATATCTTGTCTATTTTACTCCCCGTTTGCCTATTTGCCTTGGTTGGGTGGATCTCATTTCCTAGTATCTTTAATTCATTGATTTAGAACCATAGTTTGTTTGTCTTCTTGACGAACCCCAATTCACCAATTGACTTCGAGTTAGCTTAAGTGTAAAGATCTTTGGCAATCATATCCCGTTCCTTGTGGACCAAACTCTTACTTGTCATTATGCTTGGTTTGTAAGGTGTTTGTTAATAAATGTGTTTGATTGAGTGTGGAATGTACGACCGTTCTCACGCCCATCAAAATGGCGCCGTTGCCGGGGAACGGTGTTGTTGATAGCTAATTGATTACTTGAGTCTAGTTCACCATAAAAAAAAATTTCAAAAAGATTGTTTCTTTTTGGCTACACTTGTAGCCTTGGTACTAATTGCGTTTGTTGAGAGTGTATGCGCATAACTCATAACAGGATCTTGGTAGCTTAGGATCCCGAGATTGAGCAAACTTATAGACGGAGAAAAAGAGCCGGTTCTAGGACGTTTACTACTCCCCCAGCTAGGGAGACCAATTTCGAGGAGGGTCGAGATCAAATGGGTGACGCAGAACCACCACCTCAAAGACCTTTAAAGGAGTTGGGAACTCCGGGAGCTTACAGAGCTTCAAGCGGCATTGCTCCACCCGTTACTCAAGCCAATGACTTCGAGATTCGGCCCGCAATGATTAATTTGATTTAAAGGAGGCAATATAGTGGAGAAAAACATGAGAGCCCTCTTGCACACTTGAACGAGTTCGAAAAATATTGTAACACGATCAAGGTAAATGGGGTAACTCAAGAGTTTGTGAGACTAAAGTTGTTTCCTTTTTCTTTGATAGGAAGAGCTCTTGAATGGCTTGAGAAGGAGGTGAGGCCTAACTCCTTGAGAACTTGGGACGAGGTCACCACGGCTTTCTTAGGAAGATTCTATTCCCAAAAGAAGACGGCCGAGGCAAGAGCTTTGATCCAAGGTTTCCGTCAAAAAGCTAGTGAAACCATTTATGAAGCATGGGAACGATACAAGGAATATCAAAGGGAGTGCCCTCATCATGGCATTCCGTCATATCAAGTGCTTCAAATTTTCTATGGGGGCTTGAGCCCACAAGGAAAGACTAGCTTGGATGCAGGAGCGGGTGGCCCGATTATGAACAAGACGGAGGAGCAAGTCATAGAGATAATTGAGGATGTGGTGAGGCACCACATGGATTGGCAAGAAGGAGAGAGAGATTCTCTAAACAAGGGAGGAAATGCGGTTTACTCCGTTGATCATCTTAATGCCATCAACAATTTGACCTCCCAAATCGCCAACCTTGGAAAGGAGATGACGTCCATTAAGGCAAAACTAGAGACCTCTAGTTCAACACAAGAGCATCCCTCCCAATCTAAGGGGAGAGGTATGAATTCTAACTCTTCTCCCTCTACTTCTAATAACATGCCTCATGGATGTTTGTTTTGTGAAAATTGTGGGTCTTATGACCATGATACCTCTTCTTGTAATTATGATTTCCAACCCCAACCCCAATACGAAGATGGTAATGAAAATGAAAATGAACAAGTCAATGCCTTGTCTTATGATAATAGACATAGGAATGACAATCAAAGATACTTACCACCAAATAGAAAAGAACAAGGGGGGAATTCCTATAACCAAAGAGGAAATGATTACGATTACCATAATCAAAATCAATGGGGAAGTAGGAACCAAAGGGACCGAAATCCCCAAGGTAACTACAACCAACAAGGTGGTTATGGTAACCATAATCATAATAATCAAGGAAACTATGGGAATCAAGGGCAATTTCACCAAGGGGGAAACTCTTATAATCGGAACAATTGGAACAACAATAATAATAGAGGTTCTTCTAATCAAAATACGTCCAATTCGAATGTTAGAGGTAATAGGGCTTCCCAAGACAACCACTATGCACAAGCACCACATAGTAGGTCTAGCTTGGAGGAAATGATGGAAAATCAAACTAAAATGTTCAATTCTTTCATGGCCTCAAGTGAAAAGAAATTTAGTGAAGTGATGACCCATAATAAAATGCTAGAGACACAAATTTCACAATTGGCCAATGCTTTGAAGGAAGGGACTAGCACTTCTAAACTACCACCCCAAGGACTAGATCCTAAGAGGCCCGTAAATGTTATATCAACAAGGAGTGGTAAAGTTTTGGAAGAAAGTGTTCCTAAAAAAAGCAATGAGAGAATGAACATGAGTGAGCCTCCCTTTAAAAGTGATTTTGAACAATTGAGAGAGCAAAACCATGAGAATGTAAAGGAGAAAGAATGTGAGAAAGAGAAAGATTTTGAAAAAGAGAGTGAAGAGAGAAGAGAAAAAGAGAGAGAAACAAAACAATTGCAAAAACTACCATATCCTCACAAATTTGTTAGAAACAAATTAGATGTGCAATTCGGAAAATTTCTTGAAACATTGAAACAAATTCACCTTTCAATTCCTTTTACCGATGCTATCAAGCAAATGCCTAACTATGCTAGGTTTTTGAAAGATATTTTGAGTGGAAGGAGAAAGTGTGAATTGGTTGAAACGGTGAGTCTCACCGAGAATTGTAGTGCAATTATCATGAACAAGATGCCACCCAAATTAAAAGACCCCGGTAACTTTTCTATCCCATGTGCAATATACAAGATGCAAATTGATAATGCTTTGTGTGACCTAGGGGCTAGTGTTAGCCTAATGCCATACTCGGTATACCAAAGACTTGGGATGGGGGAACTTCTACCCACCAACATCACCCTACAATTGGCCGATCGCTCTATTAAATTCCCAAAGGGTAAGGTAGAGGATGTTCCTCTAAGGGTGGGGAAGTTTGTAATCCCGGTGGATTTTGTTGTGTTAGAGATGGATGAAGATGTTAACATTCCAATAATTCTAGGAAGACCTTTTCTTGCTACTTCGAGTGCTTTAATAGATGTTCAAAGTGCTAAAATTTCACTAAAAGTAGGAGATGAGGTGATAGAATTTGATTTG